CGCACTGGGCCGCGGGGAAAGGACACGAAAAGGTGGTTGAGGTAGGCCGATCGCGGATGGTATCGATCTCTACACCCGTGTCTCGGCTCTGCAGGATTTACCCCAGCACTAACCCTGAATATGCCTGAGCATGGCAGGATTTACCCCAGCACTAACCCCGAATATGCCTGAGATGAGAGGATGGCCTCTTTCGTCATCCTTCATCCAGTCCCTGGAGCCTATTCTTCCCACCTTCTTCCCATCTCACCCTTCCTACTCGATTAGGAGCTCTTGAAGCACAAAGCTGATGCCAACGCCGTGGACAAGAACGGACTCACACCTCTTCATTGGGCCGCCTACTGGTGAGGACTCAGGGCAGGGAAGGCAGGTCATGCGAGCGGCCTTCCTCCTCTCATGATCGTGACATGCCGTGGGTTAAACCGAATGGCGAGGGTCTTTCGTTGAGATGCCAGTCCATCGTGGCGGCTCCTTTCCTTCGTCTTCCCTTTGACAGATGCGGCCACAAGGAAGAGCGCAAGCAGCGTCTCATGTCGCACTGACTCCTCCGTGTTCCTCCACATGCTCGCACCACCCATTTTGCAGGGGTCAAACAGCGTGTATCAAGGAGCTGCTCTACAAGGGGGAGGCGGATCCGAACGCCCAGGACCACTTACAGCACACGCCCTTCATGATGGCGGCCTGATTTGGGAAGATCGACAGCGCGCGCGAGATCTTCGAGAAGGTGAGAGCGTTTGCCGGGGGGAGGAGACGCGTGCGCTGGTCGGCGCTGTGGGCGATGCAGAGGACATGTTGGGGGCATTTCTTGCGTTGTTGATCTTCCTCTCACATTCCCACAGATGAAAACGAACGACATCAGGCTTCCTGACGTATGGGCCTCACTCCTTTAGAGTGGGCGAGGCAGAGCAATAGATCTGAGGCGGCGGCTTTTATCGAACGGCGGTACAGAAAGCTGGGCCTGCCGATCGAGCGGTAAGAAGAAAGGACGGGGGACGCCTTTTTTACTTCTTTTTCCTTTCTTAGCTCTCCGTTGACATCAACCTGACCAATGACACTCTCGTGACGCGGAGGGGCCACCTCTTAGTCCAACATCTCTCTTACTTTTCCCTCGCTCCGCATTTCGCACTCGCTTGACCCTTAGCCTTTGTGTAGCTTGCACCTTCCTCAGTCTCTTTCGTTTCCCTCGCCACCAACAATCCAGAGATCAGCCTGGCGCAAGCAGTCGCTCCTCTGTCCCGCCATCCCCTTCTCCTTCGCATTCGGTGGCCCTTTCTCCATTCGTTGGGTCCAGCACTCCGACAACAACGGTATTCGGCGGTGCCTCCAGCCAAGGAGAAGGCGGACGCGCGTCGTCGCCGTCATGATAGCCGACTCCACAACCTCCTGTGACACTGGGCGGAGCATCCAAGCCACCTTTATTTCCGCCTTAATGGGCACCTTACCGGAGACTTGCTTTCTCTTTGATGCCAGAGTGAGAAATCATGCGAGCGATATGTAGCCTGTCCTATACTACTGACAGAATCGGCATTGCAGGGATAATGCGGTTAGGCTATCTCTGTTGTTGCAATGTACAACACATACATATTAAGTTTTACACCTTCGCGAGATCAGATCAGATTTCTCATCGAAGCCAAGTTCAAGCGTTCAAGACTTTGATTGAGAGGATAGGCCTGCAGCGATCCACATCCAGGTACGCCTGTCCAGGTTCGTTTGTATGGCACATGTCACTGATTTACAGGGAGCCTACAATTTGGTGACAGGTTTTCCCCAGATTTATATCATTCCATAAGTTTTGAAATATGTTGCAATAAAAGATGGAGGAACTGAAAACAAGGAGCCTTCCAGCTTCTAAGTCCATACATGGAGGCTGATTTTGATATGTCGGCGATAAAGATAGAATGGTTTTCTGAAAATTTCACGCGTCAAATGAGTGTAGCAGCTATTCCAGGATCCCAATCATATCAACATATTGTATTTTTGATCATTTAGTATGTTTGGGAACCGAAATGAAGCCCAATTGTTAAAAAAAGGGGCTGCAAAGCATTCGATGTGAGTTCCACGTGTTTATTTTTAAACGGTCGCTTTGCACCGGACGCTTTAACGCACGGCTTCTAATCGAAAAGTAAAACCGCTGTTAAGGTGCTCCCTGACACTTGGGTATGCTTCTCAATCACTTCTTTGTCCCTGTAGAGCATATTGATTCTTGCTTGAAATACATCATAATTGTGCATTCCT